ATATATATATATATATATATATATATATATATATATATATATATATACATACAATAATTACCCATATAAGTAGTTGTGTGGCATTTTACAATGTATTTTATATATATATACTGTATGAGAAATCTCTTATTCTGAAGGCAAGTTTACCAAACTTCTGCTGTTTTTCCAGTTGGTTTTACTGGTAACTTTATACCGGAAACCAGCTACACGAGCCACCACACCGGCGCTTACGCATGACGACTTAACTCCGCGTCAAGCTAATTAGCTAGCTGAATGACGGCTACGATTACGCGAAGGAGTGGAGCTAACGTCAACTTATCCGTTACCGGGCTAATCGACAACTGAAACACAGAGACAGCTGGTAGGAAAATGCAGTACTGTGCCCTCGTATTAGATGAAGCAACAAGACATGTTTCATATACCACAGCACCGTTGCAGTCAACGGAATGGGATCAGCTAGCTCGCTAGCGGTTAGCATCGTGCCGATGTAGTTTAACGCTATGCATCACGTCACGCCAAGCCCCTTTTAAAACTCTGGCAATATAACATGGCCTTGCTTCTTGAAACTGCATGCCTTCTGGAATAAAAGTTGAGACATGTAATGAACTTTCAAGCAATCTCCAATTCGGCGTACGCTATATATCACCGCCAATTAACGCTTGGTGTTAAATACATTCTGTTCCGACTTTTAGTTTCGGGTTCGCCCATTGTTATCTTAAGAGAAATGAGATGTGTAAGAAATCTGTTGAGCTCTGTTGCTGTCTGATAAGACAACTGTTTGCCGAATTTACTTAAAAGATAAAGGCTTTCGCCCAGACTACGTAATCTCACACCTTTACTGTAATGTCTGCTTCTGATATGCAAAGCAACGTTAAACTGACAGGATTTTGATAAGGGATTCGTATTAACTTTATTTTAAAATCACCGAACGTTAGACAAGCGTTCGCCGTTTTGTTTTTGCTTTTTGTTGCCTTTGATAATTGTAATTAGTTCAAGTTCAGAATGACCTCGCAGCTGTGGTATAACATGTCCCACAGCCAGCTAGCGTTAAACGTCTACTTACTATCGGTTGTTGTCAGCTTGTTTTATCACGATTTATATACCAGGATGGCTAGTGTTAGCTGGCAGGTGTTTAGCATTGCCAAGACAGTCGTTCGAAGTTATACTTAGCCCGAGTTTCTAGAATATTCCACAAGCTAATGCTAAAGGAGGCTAGCTATACCGAGAGCAACAACAGTGTGCTTCTGTGTGTGACACTGTGGTGGGAAGGAGGAAGTATTCCGATCCTTTACTGAAGTAAAAGCTCTACACTTTAAAATACTCCACTACTAATACAAGTCCTGCACTTTAAGCATTATTTAAGCATGAATATGTATCAGCACAATGTACTTGTAAAGTACAATATGCAGTTAGTAAATTGTAGTAGAAGGAGGGGATGAGGGGATGAAAAACTAATTTAAAAAGTGACTAAAGCTGTTAGAAAAATGTAGTGAAGTCGAAAGTGAAGTACGAGTACCTCAAATGTACAACTTGAGTAATTGTACTGAGTTACATTCTACCACTGGAAGGGGGTACATCTAATTTGATACAAAGTTTATAAATAACAGAAGTAACAATGTGTTTTTCATCTGCGTGACAATTACTGATACGATAACTTTGCTGGCCAGCTGGTTTTCCTTCATCTTGTTATTGTTTTGACGTTACAGGGTCTCTCTCCGTCAGTGACCACAGTCTGAGCCTCCGCCGCCATGACAGACAACAAGCGACTGGCCTTCTCCATCCTCCAGTTCCTCCATGACCAGCTCCAGTCAGGGGATCTGACCTCAGGCGCCCAGGAGAGTCTGGAAGGTGAGTCCTCCACGTGGTAGAATATGTATCTAAAAATCAGCAGCATGTGTCATATTGTGGAATTATCACTATAATCTGTCAGAGTAAGATCTTAAATGATTGATTCAGGATTGTGGTCAACTAAAACCAATGCAAGCAGAAGAACTAAAGATAAGAACGTCGATGAGGCTCATGAAGAATATTTCGTATGTTTATCCTAAATCCATCTTTTTTCTGTGAGGTTTATCCACAGACTCCAATTCCCCGAACTCTCTTAACTGAACAAATGTGTCATTAATCGCTTGTTTCCACATGAAGAATGCCACCTGTTCACAAATAGGTCTTCCTGTTGCTGAGATTTCATCATTAGAATAATTGACTCAGTGTTAAGAGTGAGACATCGTCTTCGCTCATCATTCTCTTTCCATTAAATTCTCCCAATTATACTTTCATTCATGGATCAATAGTCTAAACTGATCATCTTGATATTTTTGACTCAGGACCGCAAGTATTAAGTAGCTTGTGGAAAAATAAGTTTAGTATCTACAGCTGTAATTCCAATGTGTCAGAAACATATTCATTCGTCCTTTAGGTAAATATACAAATAATGTCAGACTATATCAGCAGATAATCAATATTAAAGGACTTGAATCAGGACATTCATACCTTTTGATATAAATTGTTTCCCATCTGCCCCCAGATTCAACTGTTATTTTGCTGCCAAAGAAACCCAGATATGTATAATGTGAAATGAAGGCAAACTAATGGAGATGTAGCTACCGAGTGTTATGGTATTAGTACTCGATGAATGACTGTGACGTTTCTCTTTGTTGGACTCGTCATAGTTCCCTCAGTGTGTTTACAAAGTGAGTTTGTTGTCCTGCAGTTGCGGTTCAGTGTTTGGAGACAGCATTTGAAATCTCGACCGACGACCAGAGCCTCGCTGTCCCCATGACGTTACCAGAGATCTTCGCCTCAGCCACAGACAAAGTAAACAAGCCTGTGTGACTTCGACGTGAAATATAACGATATGTTTATCAGGACAGCTGTAGGCTGTTTTCAAGGTGTTTTATGTGACATTTTATGTGGACACAATGAAGTAATTTGAACTGGGGATGTCTGACTTACACTGTTTGTTTGTTTTTGTGTCTGTTTGTTTCAGCTTCCAGTCGAGTCGCAGATCAACAACAACTCCGCTCCTCCACAACCTCTGAACTCCCTCACTGAGGATCAGAGAGACGAGGCAGAGACGCTCAAAACTGATGGTGAGACGAGGAGGAAGCTCTTCTTCACGGCTTTCCTCAGACATCTGCCACAAAGATGATTAGTGGCTCTAGTGTGGCTGCTGTTGCTTTGGGTTTTCGTTCCGGGTTTTATTTTTCAGTAATGAGGTGATATCTTTTGATCCGCAGGTAACGACCAAATGAAAGTGGAGAACTTTGCAGCTGCTGTTGAGTTTTACTCGAAGGCCATCGCCATCAACCCTCAGAACGCCGTCTATCACTGCAACAGGTCAGTCAAATGCTTCAGTTTAAGGTGTTTAAATGTTTACACTGAACCCCTGCACCCTGTGTTCTCTTGAACAGTTTGTCCTTTTTTTCTTTTGTTGCTAGTTTTAGCACCTCTGGCAACAACAGCGGCTATGTCGTATTATTTAAAACCAATAAAAGTGCGAACACCAGACACTGCTCATCTCTGGTCCAGTGCATCTCCAGTTTCTCTTTCTTTATCCTCCATCTCTCCTTTCTGCTCTTGAACGTGCAGCAGTGCTCCCAGCGCTTACCCAGCATGCCGTTTGGTAGTGTAAATGTACAATTGTTAGTTTTAGAAATTGTTTATGTGTCACAAATTGATGTGTGCCGTGGTGTTTTACCCTGTTCAAGAGAGTTAGTTGTTGTGTGATAATCATGAGTGAGAAGGGTTACTTCTCCATTCACATAAAGACTTCCCCGGCTGTGGTGCTCTCAGTATGCCGATACATACTTCTAAGCCCCAAAAAATAGTATTCAAATGAGTCCTAGTTTTCAGGCAAATATTTTTACTCTAAAACCAACCGTCATTTCTACCAGTGTTGAACTCTGGGTTACTGAGAGTTACCTCTTAGACTTCCACTTCCAACAGCATCACCCCCCTGCAGCTCCTCTTAATGTCACCTGGAAGCTTTGTTTGTACGGTAATCCAAGGCGGCAAATATGAACTACAACTCAGGATAGTTCAACCTCAGCTGCCTCACTATAGAGAAGAATCCGTAAACACATCTGGATAAGATAAGGAAGGTTAGAGTGGAGGTGTGTGTGTTGAGTCAAGAGGAAGAAGAGAATAATGAAAGAGATCATCACATTTACAATCCACTGAAGTGTTTTCACTGTGTATTTACACTTGAATTAAGTGTTTCTATATCTATATGACGTTTTTTTAATCTTTGTTTCAAACTGTAGCCAAACTGGTTCCTGTATTTCCCTCAGTTCAGTTATAGCAAACTGAGCTCAAAGTTGAGGCGTATTGTTTTCTTCTGTGTGTGTGTGTGTGTGTGTGTGTGTGTGTGTGTGTGTGTGTGTGCGCGTGTGCGTGCGCGCACAGGGCCGCAGCTTACAGTAAACTAGGGAACTATGCCGGAGCGGTGCAGGACTGTGAACAGGCCATCAGCATCGACCCAAACTACAGCAAAGCCTACGGGAGGATGGGGTAAGAAAAGCAGCCCGTTCTCAAACTCTCTTTTCGAAGCTTACTTCCTCAGTTAGCTCTAAATCTCCTTCTGTCCTCTAGCAGCCGTAAAAGTGTACAAGATAATTGCTGATTCTGTGCAATAAGCCTCGTCTATACTCGCACAAGGCACATATTAAATGCACTATAATGAAACGAGGGGTTTAATGTCCTGTAAACAGTTTGATTCGGCTGGCAAAATATTTTCAATTAAAGATTTCTACGATTTCCTCCTACAAAAGTTCAGAGGTGCACAACCAGTCGCTGTGACAGATCTCAGAGCCTTAACGCTTTACGCACAATGAGGGAGGATTGTCCCCTCGCACCGGGGACACTATGGCGAGCATAAACCAGGCTTTGAAAATGAGAACTTTGTCAGAAGACATCCCACTGAGGCGTTCTTATTTTCAAGAGTTGAATGTCCTGATGTGTCTGTTGTGTTGCTGTGTTTCAGTTTGGCTCTGGCCAGCCTCAACAAACACACAGAAGCAGCAACTTACTATAAGAAAGCTCTGGAGCTCGACCCCGACAACGACACATACAGAACCAACCTGAAGATCGCAGAGGAGAAGATGGAAACGTCCAGTCCAGTAAGAACAGAGGACAAGAAGACGGCTTTTCTAAACCAGCGATGCTGTGATGATTCTGTGCTTATCTCTCTCTCTCTCAGACAGCAGGGATGGGTGGAGTAGATCTGGCTGGTCTGCTCAGTAACCCCGGCTTCATGAACATGGTGAGAGCTCACACTCTGTTTCTATTCTACTGTCACCATTATTGAAGATAATACATTCAGCAGAGATGGGAGGTGTTATAAGAGAGCACAACACATACAGTGGGTACGGAAAGTATTCAGACCCCTTTAAATTTTTCACTCTTTGTTTCACTGCAGCCATTTGTTAAAATCAAAAAAAGTTCATTTTATTTCTCATTAATGTACACTCAGCACCCCATCTTGACAGAAAAAAACAAATGTAGAAATTTATGCAAATTTATTAAAAAAGAAAAACTGAAATATCACATGGTCATAAG